AACGCTCGCACTCGACCTTTTTCCATGGCTGTGCTCCCATGGTCTCTTGGACCATCTTGCGGGCCGAGGTTTCTTGCCGCTCGTTCAGTTGCTACACGAACGCGGCTTCAGCTGCTCGACGGACGCCATGAACAACGCGGCGGCCAATGGCCATTTGGAGGTCGTTGGCTTTCTGCATGAACATCGAAGCGAGGGCTGCACGACGACAGCGATGGATGGTGCAGCGGACAACGGTCATTTGGACGTCGTTCGCTTTCTTCATTTCAACCGCACTGAAGGCTGCACAGTCGGAGCGCTCAATTGGGCCATTTGCAATGGTCATCACAATGTCGTCAGCTTTCTCGACTGCAAACGCACCGAAGGCGCCTCCCCGAAATCTTCGATATTGTTTTTGACGATTTCAGGCGCCGAATTATGCTCACGAACAAAAAAATGTACTTTTAATCTGCCTCGCCACAGAGATTTGTTGGTATGTTGGACGCCGCTCCATTAGTCCGAGGTGGTTGGTGTCGACCAACTGGACGTGGCCAACGGCTTGTCCTTGAAGGGGTTTTTTGGTTGTCCGAGCGAGGACCGGTCCGGGCGTTATTGGTATTCCATCGTACTGTACTACGACCTTGGTAGTCGCAAAGCCGTGGACGACGCCGTTGCAAGCAGTGCAAATCGAGCGCCAACCAGAGCAATCTATCAATCTATCGATTTCACGCCACATCCGGATACACGGCCCAGACTCAGCGTCCGGATGCCGTGCCATTTTGCCAGACGATCGCCACGATGGCAGCGACCTTCGCCAGCACCATCCTTGGCCAGCCCGAGATCGCGTCGATGGTGTTTGAGTTTCAGTTTGGCTCGTATGAAGACGTGCGCCCGGCCTTTCGCGCCTGTCATGAGCTCGTGGAGCTTGGCGCTAGCCGACACCGTGTGTACATGTGCGATCCGTTCTTTCGCCAAGCGTTTGCGCCCAACGCCACGTGGTCCGACGGTCATCTCAAGTACATCGCCCCAACGAAGTATGCTCTA